CACACACACACACACACACACACACACACACACATTCCATCGATAGGATGAGCAAAAACGGAATGAATCTTCCGCTGAAACGTGGAAATATACACTGCCACTTTTCTAGCAAAATCGGAATGAATCGTTTGTGTGTGTGTGTGTGTGTGGCCAGTCGCGGGGTTGGAGACTTACCTGTCACACCGCTTAACAACAACAGATGATGGAAAGTCCTCCCGCTCCCCCTCCCCCTCGTGCTGCTCCTCTCGCTCTTCCTCCTCCTCCTCCGGCTGCTTCTCCTGCTCTTCCCCCCTTCCTCGTCCCGCTCCTCGTCCCGCTCCTCGTCCCGCTCGGAACCGACGCGCCCCGGGCCTCTACACAACCTCGCACGTATCACCCCCGTCTTAGGCCCCCCCGATTTTCCCCCGCGAACCGACACCCCGCCTACCACCACTACCGTCGTCGCAAATACGGCCCTCGGGCCCGCGAATTTCCCCCACCGACTGGCACCCCCGCAAACCGACGCACCCTCCTCGGTTCATTGCGGCACCCCGCGCGGAACTCCCTGCCCGATTTTTGCTGGGCCTAGTGGGAGCGTCACACGCGGCCCACTTTTTCCTTTAAGGTATAATAAAAAGAAGAGATATAGATATAGAAATATAGAGAGTCATATTCCCTTGTTTATGTTAAAATCCTGTGGCCTCAGTCTTAGAAACAATGTCCAGTCTTTGGCTTGAACCTCCCTCAGAATAAAACAACCAAAAGAGTTGAGTCATTCGTCTTAGAAATGATGCTTAACCCTCTTTTCTCAACACCCAAAAAAGCAGAGTACTCTGGGTCAAGACCCAGAGACTGTTCAGAAACCACCCAAAATAAACAGCGGTCAGACCATTCTTCTTATGAACAATGTCTGGCCCTTAAAGTTTTCACAGTTAATACTCCAAAACAAAACAACCACCAGGCCATTCGTCTTAGAAACAATGCCGGGCTGTGGAGAAAACAAGTCAAGAAACAAAGCGACCAAGCCATTCGTCTTAGAAACAATGCTTGGCCCTTCAGAAAACAGAACAAAACCTACCAGTCAGGCCATTCGCCTTAGAAACAATGCCTGACCCTCTAAGACCATTTCAAGCTCAAGCAAAACCGCCTTCCTCCCTCCTTCCCCTTAATGCAACCCCTTGTTTACAATCTGCTTTCAGCCAATCAATAAAGCTGAAATTGAGATTACGCATGCATTCCTTTACTTAGCCTCGCTTCTGTCCTGAAAGCCAAACCCAAAGTCAAAGGTAGAGGGCATGCAGTATACGTAGTCAAACATAGAAGGATGTACCGTTAGGGGTTATAATTGAGTTTATAAAGGGGAAGCAATGGTTACCTCTGAGTTCCCTACCTCCAGAACTCCTCCTGAGTTCCGGCAGAGCTCCCCCAATAGGTGAGCTGACTCCCCACTGAGTCTTGATGCAGACCTACGGGTTGCAATCCCGCCTGCTGCCTTCCTCTCTAAACCAAAAGATTAGAGTCAGAAGGGCAGAAATAAATGTCTTTGAGTTTCTAAGATCCAAGGGAGTTGTACTCGGACTCGCGGGAGAGGGCCTGGATATCTCTGATCGCCTGAGGGCCCCGCAATGGCAGCCAAAAATCCAAAACAGTTGTGTCAACCGAAGTCAAAACGCCAAGGTCAGCTCTCTAACGACTTCCTAGTTGCAGCAACAACCCTTTCACAAGCACGATCATGCCACCTTGTTGAGCTCACGACCCAAGGTGCACTGTCACACGTTAGCCTGCACTCTCGTGGCTGGCCTGCTGCAACTTGCACAACGTGCCGGGCACAATACTGCAGTGTGCCGTAGTTGTAAGCCGCTACAACAACAGATAGTCATCAACTAGAGTCGCTGCTGTGCCACACAGTAAACACCGGCAAGATGCTTTCAACACCGAAACCCAAAGACAGTCGTAGTGGCTACCGAAACACGACCCCCAGCAATGTTGCGCGTTCAGCAATCGCGCGCAACAGTCATGCACCTCTGTAATGCCCCAGCAAATGCGCAGCAGAAGGTGCGATCCTACAACGATGTACTTCAGCAGAACTCGAGCTTAACAGGAATTGCAACCGGTACAGATGGAGTCCCGACCCGAAGACCAGCCCTCACGACAAGATACAAGGCGGCCTACTCAGACTACAGTAGTCTGTACTTCTGCTCATCTGATTTTCTGCCGACAGCACGCTCGCTCGTGCGGCTGTGAACAGCCCGCAGGTAAGTATTCAAACTTTTTACCCTCTCGTCCCGCTACCCCGTTTGAGAAGATAGGCAGTGCTACTGTCAACATGTACCTCCCGCCCGACTAGTCTCACAGCATCTTCTTCTTTCCTTCCCTCAACTCCATTAACTCCCCATTCGACTTCCTTCCCGCACTTCTCTCCTTCTTCACAGCATGCCGAGACTCACTACCCTGTGCCCCTCGGCTCGACTCACCAAGTGAACCAAGTACGAATGGGTCTCCCGCTAGAATATGGGAGCATGCACCGCGAGCGATACGAGGTAAGTGCTTCGATCTCGCGCCGTCGCTTCTCTGCTATCCCGCTCGATCGGGTGAGCCAAATCGGACGAATCTTCCGCTAGTACACGGGAAGATACATTTGCCCCGATTCGCGTACTTTCCCGACACACCTTAATGCCTCCCCACGTATCTCACTTGCCCTCACGCTCGCGTTCTACTAATCCTACGCAAAACTAACACCTCCTTCGGACTCGCCTGGCACTAGATCCCGAAATCGACTCGTGCAGCGCTCGATCCTACTAAAAATCGAGTAAACTTAACGCAATCTTCACTCCATCCTCATCACTCCTCTCCGCCATCTCTACGCACGGTTCTTCCTTGCTAGCTCGCTAGCTACTAACTTCCTGCCGATACTGACCGCAGAATTGAGGTCGTCCCGACCCAAAACCCCTATTTCGGCCCTCTTTCCCCGCCCGATCCCATCTAGGAACGAGCATAGTAGAATCTCCCTCCTCCTTCTTCGCCAGTCTCGATCTTGCCTTACTCCTCGTCTTCTTCCTCCTCGTGTTGTCGTCAACCCAAACCAGCACCCTGCGGCCGAGATAGCGCACCGCGATCGGACTCTGCGACGGCCAGGTTTTAAAAACAAAAAAAATTGGGGCAAGCAAACAAAAACAAGCAAAAAGAAGAACTACCCCCGATTTATCCGCGCCAGTCCGTTCACAGGGGCCATGCTAATCTTCTCTTCATCGTTCCAATTTTAACTGATGTCCCGAAGGACTCACCCGTGGCAGGGCCCCGCGGCCCTTCAGAGCTTGAGCGGCTTTAGGCAGTCCAGAATACCCGGTTTTACTCAGCAAGTGTCAACATCTGGGCCCGAACGTGGGCCTATATTCCCACAGTTCGTGGGTACACCTGCCACCTCAGGCCAGCAGCCCGATGATCGGCCCCCGATGACTTCCAATTTTAAGGAGGAAAACAAAATATCCACAGAACCAAAATAAAACCCAAAAGATAAAAGGGGCAACCGACAAAAAACAGGCCGCTGGACCTACCAACGCTCCCTTGGTCCTGCGGGACGGCCCGCGGTCAAACTCCTCGACAAAATTAAGGGGGACAGTCCCGCGGGACCCTCAACCCCTCAACTTCTCCAACGCTTGCTCTCGTGCCGTCGCCCGCTGGCCTGGATCCCCACACCTCCATTTTACAATTCCAACACCATAACCTATAGGGCTAAGCCCAAGCCTGAGACCAGCGCGCGCGGAATCCTATATGAAATGTTGTAGAACTATGCCCAGGGCCGAGAAAACGGCCTGGGCTGCATCCCTACCTGCGGCCAAGCCCGACCGCTAGACGTTTGCGCCGGCCTGCTCAAACTTTGCCACGGCCGCCACACGCACCATTCAGCCCACCAAACCTACCGCTGGTCGAATGCGTCGGGTAGGAAGATAGAAACTTTAATATCCCTACCTTAATCAACAATTAAAGACCAGGCCGACTGATTGTGCCGGCCTCACGAACAGTACAAAAGAAAAAAAAATCACCCGCTCCTTAAAACTGCGCGCTCACACACTCTTTATTCTAGTCAACCTCCTAGTCAATGTAAATCACAGACGCGGCCACGCCTCGCGCGGTGTACTTCAATTTTTAATCCAACTTATTCTTTGTCGCTTGCAAAACCCAGGGCGGATACCCTTGTAAGCGTATTCGCACCGACACCGGTATCTATAAGAGCCCCTACTCTGCTCCTGAAAACTTCTAAATCTACTAACACTATCTGTCCTTTACTCTCTTTCTTTATTTTGGCCCAGGCCGACATCCTCTCATTCAACTCTTCTGCCAGACATGTGAGGGAAGTGCCTAGAGAGACTCTAACACAGGCAATCTCTGGACAGCTAACTAGGCACTGGGCTGCAACCTCTACCAAAGGCTCATGTGGTGTGGGAGTTTCCTGGTGGTGCGCGCACACTTCCCCACATGGTCTAGTGGTAGGGGCAGTTGGGACCCCTACCAGTGGCTGCCTTTTGATCCCTGGGCAGCGAATCGGTCTTCCCTATACTTTGGACAATATTTGATAATATGGGCAGGGTCACCGCAATAAATGCGTTGCCCCTGCTCCATTCGCTGTTGCCACACAAGCTAATCTAAGCCCAAATCTTCGCAAGGCCGTCCCTGTGGCCAACCTGGGTGCCAACCTCCTCTCCTTTGAGGTGATCGACTGGGCCCTGGGCGATTTAGCGGGGGACCTTGACCCCTACCTCCCTCTTGGCGGTTCCTTGGGCCGCCAACCCCCTGTGCGCCCAGACCTCGACCTCACATGGCCCGGTCCCCTTGGCCTTGGCCTCCTCTACCTTGCGGCCTCCCTCCAACTGCGACGGCAGCGTACGTCCTCCCCTGATCTACACTACTGTCATCCTCCTCTAGCCCCCACTCAATCTGACTGTAGGGGACTGCATACGTACCACCCTCATCTAAAGTAAGGATCAGGTGATCCTTGGCCCTAACATGACTTGAGATGGTACGTCCTTTCCACTTTTCCTTTTATCTAGATCCTTGTGCCAGAAAGTGGAAACTGGCATGGATTTTGCCTCGAACAGGACCACTTCTCTACTTAACGCATCATACGTAATATTGGTATGTTGGGTCTTGTCAAAGAAATGCCCTCGCAGGGGCTTTGGCATGGCACGATAAAGTAAGTTAACCAACGGGGTCTCAGTGACCCCGTGGTCTGGGATGGCTACCATGTCATCCATCACTGCCTTGAGTGCTCTTGCACTCTTCCACTGCCTGGAGTGGATCGTTTGCAGCTTATCAAAGGCCCTGACGCCTCTCGTGACGTCAGTGAACCTCTCTCTTAGAAGTTCGAGGAAGGGGTGAAGAGGAGTGAGTTTAGAGTACGCAACCATATTGTGCTCACAATCGGCTGCGCGCGCGAGGGACTTGGCAAAACTGGCCGCTTCATCCTTTAGCGCATGGAAGGCCACGAGGACTTGTTCCTCTGGCGCTATGTGTTGCAAATACACGTAGGTGTTGATACTTGCCTCCTAGTTAAACTTGAGCTCAGCAGGCTCTTTGAGGGGACGACTCTCACTTTCTGCTGTGGCTACTACTTTGGCGCCCTCAATGGCGCGTGCACATAATTTGTCTGCGCCTTCCTTCAGTCTCTTAACTTCGGCCCTGACATGAGTCACCACGTCACATGCAAACTCTCTAAACCCGGTCCGAATGGAATGGAGGGCCATATCTTGGCCCCGGACAGACTGACGATGTTCATTCCAGGTACGGCCTAGGAGCTCAATGCTCCCAAGGATCTTATCCAACCTAGCCTGTATATCAGGCCGGGCCTCTACCTCTTGCCTACATGATTGCAAGCTCTCCACTTCCTTTGCCATCTGGTAAGCCTCCTCCATCCTCCTCTTCTTCTCTCTTGCCAGACGTAACTTCTCATTCTCTATTGTCTGGCGTTCTAGGGGATCACTCGCTGCCTCGATCTCCCTTGCTGCTGCTTCCTTCTCCTCCTGAGGCACATACATCGCCGCCTCGTTTTCTCCCAAGGATAAATTAGCCACCCATTCTGATATCTTCTTCTCCACCCACACGCCGTTCTGCTTCGTGCCACTACTCTCTCCTCTTTCTCCTGCATGCCTCCTTTCGAGGGCATGTTCTTCTTCTTCTAGCTGCTCTTCCTCCTCTGTCTCTTCCTCTTCTCCTGCAGCCCTCATCTTCTCTTCCCCCTCCTGTTGAATTCTTCTCATCTCCTCGTCTAACTTTTTCTTCTTCGTCGCCTGCTCCTCTGCTATTATTTTTTAACTTCGCCTGCTTAAGGAGCTCCTTCTTCTCCCTCTTCTCTTTTCTCTCTTTCAAAATGGCGGCGGCTCGCTCCTCTTGACCCTGGGTGTAAGGGGTAGTGCTACTCCCTCCACGGGTGTCAACCATGGTGTCATGTGCACAACTAAACAATAGTTCCACTCCTCACCACTTTGACTTCTACCCCCCTGACTAACACAACCTAACTGACTCAATCTATGGACCACAAAATCCGGATAGGATCCTGTCAACTAGGGTCACTAGCCTAGACGTAAGCTATGGCCGTCACTACAGGACTCACTGCTGATCAGGAGGCATTTAAGGAGATCCCCCGTAACTCCTCAGGAATTATTTAACGTCGCAGACAGGACGACGCGATCAGCGAGTCCTCTCAAGACTTAGATGGCCTGTTGTGCAGCCCACAACTCGGATTTTGGGCCTACCGTGCCACACCGAGCAGCCCGCCGGTCAGTACCGGTCCTTGGAAGGGTTTGTGTCCTCCGGGACAGTCGAGTCGTTAGACACAGTCTTTAGCTCTACTCAGTCCGTGTGGGTTTGGTCAACAAGGCCCTATCCTTCATACACAGAGTTCCTACACCTGGACGACAGAGACTCGACGCAGAAAGAAGAGACAGACAGACTCAGCAAGTACCACAGGGTGTGTGCACATCCGTAGGGCGAGGGGATAGGCTGAAGGCTTGGCGAGAATATACCAACTCCAGCTTGGTCAAACTGTCGGTCAGCAACGCTTGGTCAACGCCCGGTCAACGCTGGTCTGCACTTGGTCAACGCTGCAGTCAACCCCTGGTCAACTCCAGTCAACCCCTGGTCAACTCCAGTCAACTCCCGGTCAAGACTTCGCCCGGCTATGGCTGTCGTCTTCTTCTTCCTCACCAACCTTATTCTTCCCCCTTCCTTTCTCCTTCCTCGCCTCTTTCTTCTTCCACCCTAATTATCTTCTTTCTTTCTTTCTTTCTTTTTTTTTTATTATTATTATTATTTTTTTTTTTTTATTTTAAACAGGGCCTTATGGTCCCGACTCCTTCCATTCTGGGGAGCAACAGTCCGGTTCCTATTCCACTGGCAAGTCCAAGTATGATACATCACAGCAACCAACTCACGCTTCCTCCTGTCTGGCCGGAGGACCCCTGAACAGCATTGATTGCTCCATGTTGGGTGGAGGATTTACTGTCAGCTTGCCCAGAGTCGCTCTTCCCTCTCAGATCTACTGATG